ACATTCCTTGTGCATGAGATTTACTTATACAATGTTTCTAGGCATGGACTTTGTATGAAAGCAACCAATGTCTTGGTCTGATGGATCCAACCCTAGTGGAGTTTGATGAAAATGAAGCTTTGAGAATGATAAGAGTGGGACTCCTATGCACGCAAGCAAGACCGATGATGCGACCACCCATGTCAAGGGTTATAGCTATGCTTGTTGGGGATATCGAGGTGAGCCCTATTGTGTCAAAACCAAGTTATTTAAGTGACTGGGATTTTAAAGACATAACAACCAACAGCAAGGCTGAAAACACACCATCTACTTGATCAGAGCACAGTGATAACAAGAACAAGAATGATCTTAATCAAAGGATAAAGCTGGTGTCTTCTCCATTAAACAACACCGAATTCAGTGACATTATTGCTGAAGGAAGGTGAGAAACATTTTTCCTTAAAAGCTCCATTTTGCCACTTCTCCTGCTTTGCCCTCCGCTACATACTTTCTAGCTCAATAAAGTAGATACTGAAATTGTGTAAATTTTTGTCGTTCCAACCCTTACATGTTGATAATTTCTCTCTCTGTAAATTAAACGAGATATCAAAATATTGGCATGCAATAAGGCTGCAGTGTTTGTAATTCATGGATGTCATTCCTGTCATGTGGTAAGATACTTCAAAGCTATAGGATTGTTTGTAATTCCATGTAACACAATTATGTCTTTCTTCTGGGGTTTTCTTTTTCCTCTTTGTTTTAACACACCACTTCTAGCACATGCCATACCACCCATTCCAGCCAAAATATCAGCTTTTATATTACCAAAAATCTGTTGGTCCGAGAGAAAGAAGGTCGGTTCCCTTTAACCAAGATCTTGAGTTCACGATTAAATGGAGAAACAAGTGCTAGAAGAGCTTCCTTTTATGGGGTCCAACGCGGCTCAATTTCAGATTAGTCGAAACCCAATGTGGTTATTGGATACTGGGAGGTTAATACCAAAAAATCAGCTTCTATATTTGCAACCGACTCCAAGTCAATCTTAATAGTCGAAATAGCACCACATGACTCCAATCCGCAGAGCCACAACAGCACTTCTGAATCTTTCAACAGTGCCTTCTTCCCAGAGTAAGACTTCAATGCTGCAAGAAGAACGACGACTGCTACCGCAAACTCAAAAATTTGTTTAGTGTTCTTTGCAGCATGAGTGAGTCTCATGTTAAGTTCCCTCGTAAGGCCAACAACCTACCTCCAAAAAGAGAGCGGGCACCAAGCAATGTGCCTTTGATGCCCTGGCTGGAGGTGGTGGTGTAGCACTTGCTGAAGGTTGACTGGTGGAGCTGTGGCTTCCAAGAGCTGTAGCACCATATGGAGTTAAAGGCTGAAGAGAGGAAGCTCTGTGATTGCCTCTTACTTATTTTTGAGTTTTGTACAATGTTTTAAGAACCAACCTGGTACTTGATCCATTTTGGGCATCGGGTTTGGTTCAATTGGTCAAATCAATTCAACCAACTAATTAAACTGGTAATACAGAAAAATGATAATTTTAAATTTTTATATATATGAAAAGGACAATAAAAAAATTTAGAAATTATACAATCGCCCATGGCCTTTAAACTTGAGATGCTGAATCCTAGGACCAGTGTTTGTAAAATGTCAACATTATATAATTATCTCCTATTTCATCAGTAGATTTTATTCCAACTTCTTCTCTAGAATTTGTAGGGCTTCTTGGAATAGGGCCCAGATCAAACACCTTCAGCTATGCCAAGTTGAGAGCTCCAACTTCTCTCGAATTTGCAGGGCTTCTTGGAATAGGGCCTAGTCCAAACACCTTCAATTATGCCGAGTTGAGAGCTGCAACAGATAACTTCAGTCCCTCAAATAAGTTAGGAGAAGGGGGATTTGGTCCAGTATACAAGGTAAACTATTGGCTTAAAATCTTAAATCTTTTTTTAATGAGATCGAATATTTATATGGCAATGTTACTAAATAAAGCATTTTAAATACATTATAGGGTAAACTTTCTGATGGGCGTGTAGTAGCTGTGAAGCGGCTTTTAGTAGCATCTCACCAAGGGAAGAGTCAATTTGTTACTGAGGTTGCTACCATATCAGTGGTGCAACGTCGCAACCTTGTTCAACTGTACGGATGCTGCATCGAAGGAGACAGACGCCTCCTTGTTTATGAGTATCTTGAGAACAAAAGCCTTGACCAAGCACTCTTTGGTATGACTGAACA